GAGAGAGAGAGAGAGAGAGAGAGAGAGAGAGAGAGAGAGAGAGAGAGGAAAGAGAGTGAATGAAAGAACGAGAGCTAGAGAGTGACAGTGTGAAACTTCTTTTTTTTTCTCTCGTTCGTACGGCGAGCATAATGTTTCATTAATTTTAGAGCGTTAGCTTACTACACGAGAGTTGCGTGAGTCGTGGTGAGCAAAAATGTTTCTTCCCAACTGAATTCCCATTCCTTTTATGAGTCACTTTCGAGGAATTTTAATCAAAAACTATCAGTCACATATTCAACTATATTGCTTTTAAACTCATTTAGCCTGCTATGTGTTTGTCTTCACATTGAATGAATTTCCGTTAAGTCAGTGATTTTTTTTTTGTTATATATTTTTTGTCAAATTTTCATTCGCTGCTTGTATATATTTATTTAGCTTTTGATTTGATTGCATTTGTATTGTTAAACATTAGCAGTATGCAATATTTATCGAATAAGAAAAAAACAACAACTAATAAACCAACATGAAAATACATTTTGCATTCATGGACGTTTATGTTCTCTCTGTCTCTCGTTTTGCATATTTCGTATATCGCGATATAAAATTTCAACAGATTTATAAATATTTAGTCACGCATTTTATTCAACAAATTGATTTCATCGTTTGCTGTATGATTAATCTGAATGCTTGAAGAAAAAGTCGTCCCTTTTTGTTCAAACAAACAACATTTCGAAGCATCCAGAACGAATCAAATATGATCACACTACAATAAATGTTCACAAAATTTTTCGTTGGCTCCTTCGAATACATAATTTGATTGAGCGAGGTGCGCGATGATGATTGCTGAAAATAGCAGGGCGTACGTTCTTTTCTTCGTAAAGTTTTTTTTTCTCTTCTCTCGTTTCATTTAAACGGTTATTGTGCAAGCGAGCGAGCTTGAAAAAAATCGAAAAAAAAACAGAGAAAAAATTGTCTAACGTAGTTATATGTCTGTGCCACATTCATTTTTTCTGTCCAATGGTACGACCGAATGAAAAAAAATTTCTCTCGTTTGAACTACAATTTTTTTTTATCGGGAAAAAAAATACACGCACACACTTTGTGTTATTAACTATTGAATTGAACATACCTTATTAATTCTTTTTAAAGCCATATTTTACCAATTTCTTTATGTGTTTTTTGTGTGTCGGGATTTATATTATTTCTTAATGATTTTTCTTTTTTGCTTAAATAATTAATCTGGTTGCTGCACCAGACAATAACTTGAACTGAAATGGTCTTTTGATTAGAACGAACAGCAGCGATGCAAGATGGCGGCCTTCCTCTGCTAACTTTGAAAGTAGTGGTTGTGTATGAGAAAAAAAAATCTATGTTACAAAACGAAAATGGCGACAGCTATGTATATGCAATGAAGTCACAACTGAACAGAAAATGCGAATTGTACATCGACGACGTTTCAAGGGACGCGTTCGAAGCTAGAACCGGTTGATCAAAAACTGAACCGGTTCACTTGAAATTCGGATATAACCTCAATATTCATGCATGACAAATTGTTTTGATGATCCATTCAATCGAATTTCTTATTTGGATTTCAGTGTTTCAAAAGTGTCAAGACAGTTGCTTTTTTTTGTTTCGGATATTTTGCGCAATTTTATAAAAAAAACTTATTGGAATTTATTACAAGAACAATTTCAACTCAAGATGTTTTTATAATTACATTTTTATTTCATTTCAATACATATAGGTTTTATGTTATTCTAAAAAAAATAATGAAATATATTATATTCCGAACATCTTAAGGTGGTAAATAAATGTAATGAAATTAATTTGAAAAATTCGATTTAAGAAATTGTGAAAATGTGTGTATTGTAAGCAAGTAATATTCATTTTAAAATTCGCACAATAAATCGAAATGATGTTTATATCGTATTTGTTTCGATAACTGCCATCTGTGTTTGGGCCTTGAATCACGGTGTCTCAAAATTTGTCGATCTTTCGTTATAATTTGTAAAATAAATACATTTCCAATATCATTGAATATTTTTTTATTCCAAATTGAATTTTACACAAAGAAAATTGTATTTATATAAAATGAACATTAACACAACTCATTGGGTCACATTTTCCAATTAAGTGTGTTTTTATTTTTGGCTTAGTTCAATTGTAATGGAATATGTGGTGGCGTTTGTACCGCAAACTGACAACATTGAAATGTCATCGTATGTATGTGAAAATATATATATATTAATTTTATTAGTAAACTTTCCATTTAATTATTCTTCAGCGAGTTTGCCATCCAATTCTGCTTACGTTGAGACCGATTTACTGAAAATAAAAATCGATGGCCTTAAGTGACATCAATATAATTCATCCACAATTAAACATGTATCGTTTTATTGTTGTTTGAATGATTTAAATTGGCCAATCGAAATCGAAATCGAGTGAATAGATTGACGGAAGAGAGTGTGCACTAATTGCTAAGTAAAGAAATAGACAAGGACAGTAAGAGATTAGTGCGTTTGTGTTTTAAAGCCACACAAAAAAAAAACATATAAACATCATGTCTCAGCCAAACACTCCGGCACTCCAACCAACTTATATGAAAGTGTTCATTCAAAGAGATTACAGTGACGGTACATCGGTCAAATTCCAAACAAGATTCCCACCTGAATTGGAAGGCAGAGTAAATATCGTTTCTTTCCCTTAAATCTCTTTTTTTATATCATGCCGTTTCGATTCAATTACTTAATTCATTACTTCAATTACTTAATTTTTTTTCGTACAAATTCAGATAGAACGACAACAGTTTGAAGTAACAATCAACAAACTCAATGAATACTTTGCTGAGGCTGAAAAGGGATCTTGCAGCACATACTGGTGGGTGTGATTTTGTTGTTGTTTGCTAAACGAATGCGTTTCATTCGCTTCATTAACTAATTCGATTTGATATATATTTGGTACAGTGAAGGATGTCTGGCATGTATCACCGCCTACTTAGTTTATTTGTGCACAGAAACGCACTATGAAAAGGTAAACAATGTTTTTTTTTTAATATCATGATTTCTTTGCATTGTTTTTCTATTGATTTTTTCCTATTTCAGTGCATTCGAAAAATTTCCAAGTACATTAACCAACAGAACGAACGAATTTACAACCCAAAAGGCTTACAAATAACAGATCCAACATGCCGTGGTTTACGTGTTATAGAAATATCAATACTTGATCGCCCGGGCAGAACTTGACTGCCAATATCGCATTCAACCGAAGAATTTTTTATGTAAACTTCCTACAAAACATATTTTTAAAAAAAATTGCAATTTATATTACACCACACAAGGCAAACAAATCAAAACAAAAACAAATTAAGTCATCATTTAAACAAACTAATGTAAAGTAATATGTCATATTTCAGACATTGTATTGAGACATTTTCAGGCAATTGATTCAGCTCAGGAGGCGAACGTCAGGCGCTGAAATGGAGTGAAAACAATAGAAGTGATTGTTATGGTTATAAAAACACCTACAATCGCGCTTGACGTTAGTTCTCTGAGCTGACTCATCTGGCTGAAAATCTCCCAACATAATGCGTGATGTAAAATTCATTAAAAAAAAGTATTTAAAACGATAAAAAAGCCGCCTTATGGAAAACAAATACCCCACATACACACAGTTCGAAATCAATTGTTTTGTCTCTATTTTGTTACTCATCATAAATTTTGATTTAAATTATCATTTGTCTAATAAAACAAAATGGAACAGTACATTTGATTGTTTGGATCTGTGCATATAAAATAAAATTCGAAATAAATAAAACAAATGTTATAGTTAAGTTCAAATTAATTAATATTTAATGACCTCAATAGCATGGCCTGCCATAGATGCCGTTTTGTTAATCAATTTTAAAAGTGTGAAAACTGTTGGCGACCTTGAAGCATTACAAAAGAATTCAAACAATATGTGCATGCTCTTATCCACGTATATGTCGTCGCGGGCACATTGCCTTCTAAAGAAATGTACATAGATCAAAGACGCTAACTGCTTTTATCTCACTTAAATTTTTTGATGGAACGAGATTTTTCAGCTTCTTTTCGCTGTTAAAAGAAAGAAAAAAACAACGTCAAGCGAATGTCTTTTGTTGTGCCACGGCATTATGAATTCCAATCAATAGGGAATCAGTTCAAATCAAGGATGAATCGGACGAAATGACATTGTGCGGTTGACAAATGACAAATTATCTGATAATGAATTTAAAGAATTGCATACAATGGCTTTAAATAAGTGATTGAAATGAAGAAAAGAAACGAAGGAAATTCAAGCGAATGATAAAGGGAGACGAAGAGAGAGACGAACGCATAAAATGTCCAAATTTACTTGAAACCGAAAATGTGTTCATTTACAAATGCTATCATTATTAACACAAGCGGCAAGGATGGTCAACACTAGAACAGTTTTATACTCATTTATATCAGACATATCCAGTGACCGGTTCGCGCATATTTCTATGCTTGCCTAAATACGCTAGGTAGCATAGATATGCCAAGCATAGCCGCAAACGCAACCGACGCATCGCCGTTCACTCTATATGAACAATGCACATGTTCGTTTATGCAGACGACCGTGCGCATACAATATAGCTCAAATCGAATGGCGACGGGTGAGTTGCGGCTTGCGTCTCCGCTATGCTTAGCATAGCTATCAGGCATAGAAATATGCGCGAACCGGTCACTGGACATATCTCATTTAATTGCTGTTGTTGCTTTTTATTCGGGTGTGTTTCAAAAAATGTGGAAACTAACACTTTCACTTGCCACAATTCGTTGGGTCTTAATAACAAACCATCCGCTAATCTGTTTGTATTTGCTCTTGAGACCAATAACAGTCGAGTCCATTTCCACAAAAAACTGTGACAAAGCTTAGTGAAGTATTTCGTTTTCGTGTCAGCCGTTTCAGAGAAAAGCATGTTCGTTGTATGCTGGTGTCCTGTATAACTGGCGATTTGAGTTCGGTCGGTTGATTGGCACTGTGTGAATTGCGCAAGCGTCACCTCAAATATTCGGAAAATTCAATTTACAATATATTCAATTCACTTACTTGTCGTATATCGGTTTCTATTATGTGTTTGTTTTCCTCTTTCGAGGAACACATCGTAATGTTTTCCTAAACAGTTGTCAGTCGCCAACAACACGCGTGCATGTTCAAACTTCAACGGTTGAACAACAACCGTTCATCTAATTTACTCAAACTTCAACACAACATATAAACCCGTACGTAACAATTTCGAAAACAAACCACCTTTTCAATTTAACATAATAATTAAAAAAAACTGACGTGTCACCACAAGCCATCGAATGACTTAGAAAAATAAAATAAAAAAAAAACATTTAAAATTCGCCGCGATAAATTCAAATAAAAGGATTTTTTTTCACGTGATAGTGAGAGCATTTAAATTATGGTTTTTATCACATTCCGCATCCATTCGGTATGCAGCTTTAGATATTCGTCTAACGTTAAATCATCAAATAGAGATAAAGCCAAACGTATATATTTGTATATATATCAAGAAAACATTTTAAGATCTCAATCATTCTAAAATGAGCCTTGAAACATACATGCTTAGATATCACACAAAAGAACATAAATTATTTGTCAACATATTTCGTGTGTGATATTTTTAATCAAACCAATTTCGAATTGTGGCAAGAAACCGTAACATTTTCAAATGCATTGGAATTTTATAGAAAATAATAGAATTGAAACATTTTAAACCGGTCGCTCTGTTGCTATTCTTCATTTTCCGTTTTGTAAATTTCCACTTTTAAATCCAATTTAAATTTCACCAGTTTTTAGTGAATGTTTTGTTATCAAATAATAACAAAAACAAAATACCTTTCTCACATCTAGATGTGCGGAAAAGTAAAAGAGAAGATTTTATCAATTTATTAATTTTGTTTTATGCCATCCTGTTGCATTCTTGAAAATAAAAAGCTCATACCGAAAAACAAATGATGCATTAAAAAGAAATTGATCGCTCCGATAAAAATCCATTTCAAAAGCCGTAGTTCGATTAAACTTTGACGCTTTTTCTCCCCCTTATAATTAGTCATTCATAGTCGTTCAATTGGAATTTGACGGTGTGGAAACAACTTGATAGCGACCAATTAATGTGAATATTTGAAAACAAATACAAACCAAACATTCCGTTCCGATCAAACGTAAACTACCGAAAAAATTTGTTAATTTTTGTTTAAACTGTGCGCTCAGCTGAAAACTTCTAAATCAGGTCACTGGCAGTAGGTAAGTATAGTACTATTTTTCAAGAGAGATAGAAAGAGAATAAACAAAAACATGATAAATGGATGCATCAGCATCGACGAATTCGTGCTTCGCCAAACAATGCAACGACGACAAAAAAAAAACAGACTCAATAATCAAAAGAGAACTGATGGTATGCGAATGTACGTTGAGTTTCGTTTCGTTTTCGATTCGAATTAATGAAACAAATTTGAAAGTCCGACCCGGTAAAATGTGTGACAAATTGCCACGATCAGAATATCCGTCGGCAAGATCAACAAACGGAAATAAATTTGTTGCTTTATCCCAATTTCAAACGGGAGAGTGTTGAATTCCACACTGGATAATAATTGAATTTTCTCATTTTTGCATTGATGCAAATATTGGTTTTTATAATAACAAATACGCGTGTGGAACATAAAATTGTGTCATTGCAGAAAAAAAAGAGGTTCTGTGAGCGCAAATAGCTTTCATTTGGATGTGCTTGATAATCCAAAGTAAACTTCATATGGAATGAAAAGTTTAACAAAGAGTTTAAGCGAATGGGGGTAAGAATTGAATTTTGTGTTGATTCACACGTACAAAAAAATATACACACACACGCACACACACACACAAAATAGCTTCATTACGTCACTATACTTTTGAACATCCATTTGCCATTTGATGTAGAAAAGTTTGAATAATGAGTTAAACGAGTGAAAAAAATTCAAAGGGAAAAAAAATTCAATTTGAAGGCCGCTAGCTCATCTAGCATTTCAAAAAAGGCCAAAGCCAACAATAGCAAATGACAAAATGAAAAGTCATTTGTAGATTATTGAGACGGCGTTACTTATCCAGAGGCATTATGTGCATCTGCAGGCTATCAACATTCTCGGAGATGAAACTGAAACATGCTTTAAGGAAATGAAAGGAGAACAAAAAGTCGTTTCCATTCGTTATTTCAATTTATTTTTTCGTTATGTCTTTCTTATACATTGCATAGCCATGTTCTATTCTCATTTTTCACCGGCATCTTTCACGTCTCCATCACTCATTCAATAACAACCACTTCACGGGGACGATATACGAAACGTAACATGGCATTTCATTTATCGACTCAATTTGCGTATTCTTTTCATATGCGGCAAAATGGTATTGTTATTTATTGCTTGTCTTGTTTCGGCCTATTTCAACGCCGTTTTTCGTTCTATATTACAAATTACAATTGTGCGTATTAATGTATTCATATTGCATGATAAGCTTATATATATATGGATAACCGAGAATGAAAATGACTTAGGAAACACGTCCACGTCCTGCTCTCGCTTACAGATGCTCTCCTCTGCATTATAAAGATATGTACAAAGGAAGTGAAATAAAGTTTCTAAAGAAAACATTCTTCTCCTCTTTTTTTCTTGTTTGGCGGTAATACAAACTATTCAACGCGTCCTTTTCTTTGAGATTTTACGAGCACACTTCTCTTTCACATCTCAAACTTTCTTTTCATTGAATTTCTTTTCTTACTTCGGTTGTGTTGATATACACGTCTTTGTACGTAAATAAATTAATTCTTTTTAAACTTACTTCTGTATCTATTTATCCTTCCCTTCCCGCAATGTTATCGCTCAAGCTCGACATTTGTCTACTACGCTATAATCGGACTGTCGAAATAATAATTTAATATTTTAATACTCCCCTATCTGGGCAAAAAAAAATTGAAGTCTTAAAAAAACTATTTTCCGTTTTATATATGATAGCGGCTTTGTTTCTACTGAAAAAGCAAATGAATAAAACTGAAAGCAAATGGCATACAAAAGAACGGGGTAGCCGTAGTTCTATTGTATGACGAACGATATGAATTTCGATTTGACGAAAGGGTCAAGCCACAATTTTCGACGAAAAGCACACATCACATGAAACGAATGCAACGAGTTATAAATGACAAATTGCTAATGCCATGGGTGACCCATGATGGGTCTTTTGGTTATTTCAAAAGTCTCTTATGGGATCTGAGGCAGCATTTTATAAATCAAATATTCTCGGATTTCTATTTCGATCATTTCAAAGTAGAAATAACCAATAAATTCAATGCAATAATATATATATACGTTATTTGCACACTTCCGTCAATACACTGGAGAGAATACAGTTGGGACCAATAGCAACACACCAACAATATATTATAACGAATAATAAGATGTCATCTTATTAGTCTTATCAAATGAATACTGTTACCAGAATATTATTATTGGTCATTTTGTGTGGAAGAATCGTCATTTTTACCCATTATTTGATGATTTTTTAATGAATTTCCAATTCATTTATTCGTTATTAGTTTTGTTCGATTCGACATTTGGCGTAAATACGAACTTTAAAGCTATTTCATAAACATTAAAAGAATTGTACAACATTAAATTATTAAACTTACTGGAAATGCTTTGAATTATAGACGTTGTAAGAATCGGTCAGTTTTTCACCACCGACACCGAACACGAGCAATTGGTGTATTTCTTGGATAAAATTGATCAATGTTGTCGGTTGTCGGGTTCGGTCGAGTTTGCAAACACAACTAATAATAATATACAATAGTAATAACTATACCGCAGATGCCCGAACTGTAAGAGTGCGAGAGAGCGAGAAAGAAAAAGCCACAAAAGAATAAGAAAGAATGAAAGTGAATTATTGGCAAAAGAGTCTGTAAAGAAAAAGAAGTAAACAAGGGTATAGAAGAAAAAAGTACGTGGGTTTCACTATTTGGTGGATATAAAACATCTTTCATTGATCCATAAATGGGACTTAATTAGGCTTTGATTAAACAAATCGCATATGAAATTGAGATAATTTGTGTACGAACTTCGGTTACCTAATGAGCCTTTTGTTTTTTGTGAAACTACTTAAACAATACGATTTATTAAAGTCGAATATTATGGTCAATGCCCCCACATATGTTCCGCCAACATTGATACGATTAGGAAGATAAATTATTTGCACGCTGTTCAAAACAAAAACGATACAATGAATTATTATTGGCATTCATTTCGTTGATTCATTCGAATAAGAATTTTATTTAAAAGGACCATACAGTTTTCTTTCCCCGCTGGTATTTAGGAATAAAAGATGTCTATTTCATTTGCGGCCATGACCGAATCTCGATTAGCTCTTATCCAAATTGAAAATTTCATCATGCTTCATTGAATTTCGACGAATTCCACTTCAATTTCGATTCCAATATTATTTATATAAACATATTTTCTTCAAAAGCTTTGCATTTCTGGCATTTGCATATTAAAAAAAAAAACAATAAGATCAAAAACATTCCAATTCACATTTTTTATTATAAAATTCAATTGTTTTGCAATTTTGAAAATCACTTATTTTCCGAACTATGAGAATCGACGATGAAAACTTCATTTCGAATGGCCTAATGTATTGATTGGTAAAAAGTGTATTCGATGCCGGTGCCCGCAAAAAGCAATATACAAAAGGAAAAGTGAAACAAATAAGAGTAAAACGAAATTCGAATGATTCACTTTGGTTTAATGATTTATTTATTTAATTTTCTGGCAATACGCTTTTATAGTCGGCAATATCTATTTTGATTAACTTGAAACGGCAAATAAAAAAGGGACATATGCAAAGTTTGTAAATGATATGCCGAATTAGTGCAGAATATTTTTCGTTTTTATCATCGTAGTACCGAGGTATTTAACATAAATACGAACAGCAACTACATCTAAAATATAATATCTCATATGTGATAGTGGGAAGACGATATAAATGAAAAAAAAAAATTGCTGATCATACTTTTATAATAAAAATAAGAAAATTGAAAAATCATCAATGAATTTAATCCATTTAAAAAACATGTGGTTGGTATTCGCATATCGTTGTATGATTTTGTGCGGAATCCTACACACCCCAAAGCATAAACTAGTGTTAAACACGTGTCTTTTTATGGCCAAAGATATAGTGCCAAGTAGAACTGTCTCCTGTTGAATGGAAATCGAAAAGATCATATCAAACATTCAAATTTAATTTCGAGATATGCGTTAAATGATGTCATTTGATATGTAGAATCAATTGTTCTTATCACTTTAATCGAATCGTTGAATGCACGTAACGAAATCACAATGTTTCCGTGGTTAGAAAGTTTTAGCAAAAGGAGACGCGACTGTGGCTATGAATAAAATGATAAATAAATTATCGTCTCTTTATATCAACCGAAGTTTTGAATTGACGACGATAAAAAACTCATCATTTGAATAACCAGAGATCAAACATCGCAAACTCATACATGACATTGAATCTCTCTGATGAGAAGATATCTTGTTCTTTTTCTTGTATCAGGAAGGATTTTAAAATGAATTTTGTCCTCGATGCTCATCCGAACCTGAGCTCTAGCGGTAGCTTTCGCTCAGTTCAATATTTTATCCCTTTAAATAATGAAGTTTAAGGCAAAAGAAACAAAAATGTTCCCTGATACACAGCAGAACAAGGCGTGTAGCCTACAACGCAGCAGCATATCCATATTTATGTTCAATTGCGTTGCCTTTTTTGGGTATGTGCGTGTAGAATTTTTTTTATTGGCTTATTCGCGAAATTTAAATAATGTGAAATGTTGAACATAAGACGGTTAATAATGTAGTGAATGACAGTCGATTGATACAATTTTACGACTTTCTCTGAATAAAAATACAATCAAACTTTTTGAAAAGTATGAAAATGTGCCCCTCGTATATTCTTTTGTCATTTCAATTTCATTTCAATTAGGGGAGCATCATCCCTCTTCTATCTTCTATAAACTTACTTTTTATGTCCATACAGCATTTATTTAAATTTAAAATCTACTGAAATTATCATATATAAATGAAAGCACCCCAAATACATTCATCATAATCAGCGCATATTTTTTGGAAATTATTTAAAGTTGTCAGAAAAACAACAAACTAAAATTCAATTGATAAAATCGGACTAGTATATTTGAATGGGGTAGAATAAAAACTACTTCTCGAAAAATTGCT